CCAGTAAACAACCTTCCTGCCGGATCATCCGAACTGGCGGGAAAGGCGTAGGACGTAAAAAAGGGTCCTTTCATGTCAGCCTCCTCCTGGGTTACGCCGGGCAACCCCTTGGGCGCCATCGGACGGGAGCAGTGTTATCGCCGATGCAAAAAAAAAAACGAGGGGGGATGGGGGGGGGATTCCCCCCACCCGCCCCCCCCCCCTCCCACCGACACTACGCTCCCCAGGAGGGAAAAAGCAGCGGGGGCTGCAGCTGAGCACGCCTATCCCGGAGGAACCATCCGATTCGCTCCGAGGGTCGGCGATAAGAGGAAAAAATACAAGATGGCGTTGTCCAGCGTGTAGTGACCTGTCACTGGGAAATATTCCTCGGCGCTTACCTTGAATAGGACTGCTCGTCATCTTCTCCTCGGGGAGGAGAACTCACCGGACGACCGGAGGTCGACTGCCGAGCCAAACATCCTTAACAAAGGTTGGTCATCTACACAATTTTCCTTCTTTGTTCTTCTGACAGTGCTACATTAGCTCGCTGAAGAAAAAATGGGAGCCGATTTCCCGCTCTTAACGTAATTTATACGGACCGGGTGGGGCCCACACAGCAGGTGGGCGTGGACTAAATTTTTTCAGTGCTTATGCTACGCATAACGGGATAAGCCCACTAAAGCGAAGGCCTTAAAGGGTGAAGCTTATACGACATAGAACCCAAAATGCCTGTCCCAAAAAATTAGCATATTATGAAAAGGTTCTTTAAACAAGCTATTAACCTAACCATCTGAATCAACGACGTAACTCTAAACACCTGCAAAAGATTCCTGAGGCTTTTAAAAACTCCCAGCCTTGTTCATTACTCAAAACCGCAATCATGGGTAAGACTGCTGACCTGACTGCTGTCCAGAAGGCCATCATTGACACCCTCAAGCAAGAGGGTAAGACACAGAAAGAAATTGCTGAAGGAATAGGCTGTTCCCAGAGTGCTGTATCAAGGCACCTCAGTGGGAAGTGTGTGGGAAGAGAAAAGTGTGGCAGAAAACGCTGCACAATGAGAAAAGGTGACCGGACCATGAGGAGGATTGTGGAGAAGGGCCGATTCCAGACCTTGTGGGACCTGCGGAAGCAGTGGACTGAGTCTGGAGTAGAAATATCCAGAGCCACCGTGCACAGGCCATAGAGAACCTGTGGGATATTGTGAAGAGAAAGTTGAGAGACGCAAGACCCAACACTCTGGATGAGCTTAAGGCCGCTATCGAAGCATCCTGGGCCTCCATAACACCTCAGCAGTGCCACAGGCTGATTGCCTCCACACCACGCCACATTGAAGCAGTCATTCATGCAAAAGGATTCCCGACCAAGTATTGAGTGCATAACTGAACATGATTATTTGAAGGTTGGCGTTTTTTGTATTAAAAACACTTGTCTTTCATTGGTGGGATGAAATATGCTAATTTTTTG